CAAAGGAGGATACGACAAGCCCTAAAGTAGGGAGCGGTGCCCAAAAGAGGGGAGCAAAACTCAAACAAGAGGAGCATACAAAATCGAAATTACAATACAAACTAGAGCTAAGCAACTAATCAAACCATAATCCCGATAAATCTAACCCAATGGAAAATCTGACCAAAAGAACATACCACACGCCCTTCTAAATTCAACAACGGAAACCACCCTAATATCGAATTTAGAAACCAACTGCAGAGAGACAATGGCGATGCTAAGCCCATACCGAAAGACAAACATATAACCAGGAAGAAGATGACCACCAACAAGAAAGAGTAAACCAAAACAACTCCGAGACTTCTTCAAAAGATACTCAACCCAATATCATTGAGGGAAAGCTGTTGATATGCATCGCTAATTTTAGACCCTTAACTTTACTTCTACCAAGTTTCTTTTGTCCATCCCTTGTTATCACTTTCACGGTGTATTTGACGAAGTAGGACTGGCTCAATATTAATGGGTTACTGAAATTGTACCCAAGCATAAACATTAACTGCCTCATAATAGTTCACTTTCAATGTATTAGACTAGAATGTTTTTATTCCACGTTTAGGATCCATTATTGTGGTTACAACTTACAACACTTTGCTTCATTATTACCCAAATTTAACGATTAGAAACCGAGGCTAAATGGGATGTTACTAGCAGGCCCGATCCACTGGTATTATAGACTTTGTGCCACAAATTTTTTTTTAGAAACTTTAGCACTTTTTTATAATATTGATAGAAATTTAAGGTCATTTTTAACAATTTTACATAAATTTAGAATCATTTTGTAAAAAATTTTACCAGAATTGTGAAGCCCATGGGCTGGGTCCTGTGCAAAAGCACTCCTTGCACAGCACATGGGCCGGGCATGGTTAGTAGACTTAAGCCATGTGTTACCCTCTATGAACGGACCAAAGGTGAACTTAGTTGCCTCCGCTTCTTTTTTGATGCAACTAGGCCATTTGACCTAGTTCCAACCCTGATCCTTTATTCATGTACTCACCATAATATAACGTTTTAAGTGCAAAGTCGTTCCACTCCAACCATCCAATGAGATCAATCAAATCGTCGATAAACGAATTTATCAAAACTTTTCTACAATATCGTCTCCATAAGCGACCTAAATACGCCTTGAAATTTGCTTTCACAGGGATCAAATCACGTGCAGTCAAGATTTGACAATTAATCAAAGAAATACTAGTAGAGTCTCACGCTCGATCGCGGCTTTGAGCTGTGAATACAATTTTTTGTTTTTGAATTGGTTTACGAACACAAAGATTACAATTCAAAAACACTACAACCGCATTACCGCATATAAAATCGATTGTACCATATATATGGCATTCTCGGTAAAACTATGTAGCTGAACGGACATAAAGAGTGTCTTGGTAACCTTCGAACGCGCATCGATAAAATGTAGAGTGATCATAATCGCGCATCATTATCACTATTTAATATTGATAACGATAAAAGTTTTCATTACTAATTTGTTATTTTTTTAATAGTTTTAGAAGATATTTAGTTCAAATAGAGTTCTTTAATATATAAAAAGACATGTTACTGTGATTTTGTATGATGATGTTATTTGAAAAGCATAAAAAATACTTTTTTTTATGAAGATCAAATCTAATATTTGTTTAAAATACTTATATTTTTTTTTAATATCAAATCCAATATTGGTTTATAACACTATATTAGTTTTTAGATAATATGCTAGAAATCACCAAAGCAATATTCGACATATTTTTGATATTAGAAATAGTTTTCGAGAGTTGTGGACTAAGTTTAAAACTTGGGGCATCTGACAACGCGTCATCACACGTATCTTCGTTTGTCATCGCAGCTATTACATAATGAAGTAAACTTTTATTGTTTTTGGCTGCCAAAGCTTTAAGGGCATCATCATAAACGCTAATTTCATCTTCATAACGTTGAGAGCATGTACTACATGCCCTCTTAGGAAACTGACCCACCACAATTTTTTCGAGTGACTTGAATTGCTTTTGTGTGTTTGAACCATCTCGTTGCACATCTTTGATCAAAAGCTTCACAACCCCAAAAAAGTCCAATGTTCTTGTTGTAGGAGTCGATTTAAAGAAATTGAAGCAGAAAGAAGGATTCTGTACTTTTGAGCAGATGGTGCTGACCTCACTTTCTGTTACTTTTATATTAAATCTTCCATATGATGAGACAACAAAAAACAAAAAGATTACTAAAGAAATGAAGAAAACATTATTTTTGGCGTAAACAACCATGTTTACTTTTATGTTTTTAATATGAAAATTCTGTTTTTTTGTGTTGGTACAAATATTTGAGAATTGTTAAGAGATAACCTTATTTATATAGGCTGAGGTCAAACATATCTACAAAAAAAATAGCAATTATTTTTTTGGTCAACGTGTTTAATTATGTACCATTATAAGTTATTAAGTCAATAATAAAATTATGTTAAAGCATTCAATTTTTTTTTTTTTGGTAATAGCATGGTCAAAGTATTCAATATTTGAGTTTTTTAGCAATAACATTGTCAAAGCATTGAATATATATTTTTTAGTATTGCAATTATGATAACTTTATAAACTATAGATTTCAATCATGTAAACATTCTAAAATATAAAGCTTTAAGAAAACGGTTTAACAAATACATAAAGAAAAATGTTTGTTTATACTGGTTTTAACATATCCTCTATATATTAATAGAGGAGACACTAAGTGAAAATACTAATTGTCATCCAAAGAGGGTTTTAAGGCACTTTAAAGGAAAGCTATTAAAAAATTTCAATAATATTATTGTGTAAATAATTAGACTAAATTTATATCACATATACAATATATAACTATTAAACATATATAGAAACAAAGAATATATGGTAATTAATATGAAATATTTTATTTAATAAATATAAAGTATATGTGAGAATATCTTTTTTCTTTCAATCACTATTAGATTTTGTTTGACATGCGTTAAATACGAAATTAGAATATTCAGAAAAAAAATTCATGATTTTTTTACATAATAAAATATCTCCAATATAGATAAATATATTGATAAATACATTTTATCATACAAAATTTAATTTGCATGATACTTACACTAAATGCAGATAATATTTTAGAAATGCCAATTTTTAAAAATGTCATCATTTTGAAAATTTCTTCAAAATGCCACTAATCCTCTATAATATTAATTGAAGAGACATTTGGTGAAAAAATCATATGTATTATTCAATGAGGGTTTTAAGAAATATGTCATTTAAATTAAATAATAAAAATATTTTAATTTAAACTATATGCTATGGTGGAAATCTCTATATGTTTTTATTAATTTTATAACATAAACCCATTTATATATATTTTACACAGTTAAGTTTAACTAAATGTAATATTTAGACTTACTATATCATCTATTTAAAAAAAAAAAGATATATTAAAAGGCTTTTTATTATTATGTTTGTAAAAATAATATTTATTTGTAGATGGTAACTACACTTACAAATATTTTTACATTTTATTATTAGAAAACATATATTTTTTGTTTGTTACATCCGGCAAATTTATATAAACCTAAAATTTATTTGATTTATCGCATACTCTACTATTTACACAAATAATAAAACTCAATTTGACAATTCAAATAAGTTGAAATAAATAACATTTGCATTAGTTTTAATAT